GCCAGCAATCGCTTAATATTACGTATTGCCCAGGACTTATCGGCGCACTGCGGAAATCTAAGCTAACCCATTTTCGATGCATTGTGAACGTCACATCAGTGATTTACCAAATCAAATGGGGGTTTCCGGTGATTTATGATTCACTCGCTCGTTCCAAATATGAATACCTCTTGATAATATTTTGATCTTTTTTTTATGGGATTTTCGGGAGTGCCTGTATCTATTTTATGATTTGCACACTTTTCAAATTCTTCTGATAAAAATTGGCCTATATTTTTTCACATTTCCTGTTATAGTTACCCATAGTTATTTCATTATTATTTTTTTATGTATTATTAAAATGCCTTTTCTCCGTGTGTAAGGCTCGATTACGTCGTAATCGTATCGCGGTTGCCGGCCACTTCTTGAATCATTTGAATCACCCAACGAGTTCAGATAGTGGGTACAGTGAGTGTCTGGCACAGTGGGTGACTAATTAAAGAGTTTGCACTCGGTTTTTAGTGGGACAGTCGTCCAGTTATTTACTACATCTCCAGAAATGTCGTCATGGGTAAGACAAATGGGCATTTCATGGAATTTTATAGAAAGGCAAAAATATTTTGTTTAAATTGCCAAAGGAAAACTTTCTGATTGCTATAAGCCAGTTCTAGGAATCAATTATCAGAATAGCCAAATAAGTATCAGTAGATAGGGACAGTAGCATTTTGGTTATATCCCAGCATGACATCATGGGTCAAGAAATGGGTCAAGTCATGTCAGTCTGTTGTAATCCCAATTAGGAGGCATCAATGGAACTATAATATGATAATTGCATGTCGAAAACTAGATGGGGACATTGACAGGAATATTGTAAGTAAAGTAAAGTAAAAGAGTAAGTAAAAGTAAGGTGCAAGTTCAGTTTATAGTTTATAGTGATAGGTTAGGCGGGTACTTCCCCCCACATGACATCATAGATAGGTCAGGAAGTGGGGAACAGTGGGGAATAGGGATTAGTATTCCTGCTTAAAGACTGATAGTTTTGTTTTTTGTCCCATTGTGGCTGCTCTTTTTGTGTGTTGTTTGTCACGCGCCCCGAGTGGAGGAGTAGTGGACGGTAGTGCCGGCTAGTTTTGGAGACACTTTCAGAGAGACAGAGTGAGAGAGAGAGAGTGGGTGCTTATCGCAGTGGGCTGAGCAAACACCGACAAACACACACGGGGCGTGTGCGTCTGTATCTGTGCGTAGATAAGCGCCGGCAGAGCACACAATCAGCCCTCGTTAATTGTGGCCACAAAGTGCGAGAAGTGCGAGTGCAGGTCGCACTGCAAATGCACTTCTCGCCGGGATTATGTCAATAAAAACAGTTGGGTAACCACCTGCTGTAGATAGCGATAGGGGTAACAACAAGTATTTGTTCCACTTGAAGCCTATAAGCTGCATTTAGTTGTGCCAGAAACCAAAAGAGTCTTCAGTAAAGATATCTCTTTTACTTCAGAAGAATAACCTCAAGATAAATGTGTGCTAAGCGATTTAATATTGTGTATAAAGTGTTTGTATTGGAAATTGTTTACAATTCCTTCTTATCTGTATCAGCAATTCAGAAAGTGCATCGGATTTCAGAGTAAAATATCAAAGAATTGCCCCTGGTTAATTTGTGTGTTCTATCAATATTTATTTATTTATTTCTTTATTCGCCAACAGTAAAAAAAACCTTAACTGGCTACTAACTAATACTAAATTAAATACTAAGTGAGGCAAAATAATTATACAAGTTTTTCTTGATTAAATCTCTGGGGGAGCATGGATCCAACCGCATGTGAGATGGCAACTTATTATAAAAATGCAGGGCTCTACACAACGGCTCATTGTGGGCATAATTGGCTCTGTAAGCCGGTACAAAAAATGGTTCAAACGTTCTTAACGATCTACCAGGCACCGATAACCCTATGCTGCCCAGCAGTGCGGGGCAGTCGATTTCAGAGGTCAGCAAATCACATATGAAAACTAATGAACTGGTAGTTCTCCGATCTTCTAGGGAAGAAAGGTGAACAAGCCGACATTGGCAGAATAAGACGGGACCGGGTCATTGAAATTTAAAGCTAGAAGGGCAAAACGTAGAAACTGTTTCTGTACAGCTCAAGCCGGTTTATGTGAATAGTACCCGTCGGGTTCCAGATGAACGAGGCATATTCCAGTTTTGACCTAATGAAGGCTGAATATAAGCTTAGCTTCGTGTAGGGATCTTTAAATTGCGCGGCATTTCTTTTTACAAACCCATACATAGCGTAGGCCTTGGGAATAATATAGTTAATATGTTCAATGAACATAAATTTACTGTCAAACATGACTCCTAGGTCCAGGGATTCATTTCTCAGGGACAGAATATGGGAGTCAATGGAATAAGAGAAAAGGATATTAATTATTCGTTTACTGTACCTAACGAAGAAACATTTTGACAAATTAAGAGGCAAGTTATTACGAGAACACCAATTTCCCACCCTTTCTAGGTCATTTTGAAGAAGGTCACTATCGGAGATACAATTCACAGCTCTAAATATTTTAAGATCGTCAGCGAACAACAGAAATTCCGAGTTCTTTATGCAATAGCTAATATCATTTATGAACACGATGAACAGCAACGGACCCAAAGCACTTCCCTGAGGAAGGCCAGAAGTTGCCACATATGGGTTAGAGTAAACAGCATTGCATTCAACTCTGTAAACCCGATCATCTAAATAAGATTTGAACCAGCTAAGTAATAGTGAGTGAAATCCCATTTTCTGCAGTTTAGCTAATAAAGCATTATGGGAGACTTTATCAAATGCTTTAGCGAAATCGGTGTAGACCACATCAACTTGATGATGACTGAGAAACGAGTGGGTGCAAAAATGATTGAACGTAGCTAAGTTTGTGGTAGTAGACCGTCGAGGCATAAAACCATGTTGGTTAGGACTGATGATCCGACCAACAAGAAAAGTTAGCTGCTTGGCTACAATTCGTTCGAACATTTTGAGACATTGCTGAGCTTTGCAATTGGCCTATAATTTGAAACAATGTTTTTGCACCCGACTTAAATATAGGAGTAACAGTGGCCAGTTTCCATCTATGCGTAAAAACACCAGTGGAAAGAGATAAATTAAAGATGATTTTAAGGGGCTCACAAAGAACACCTATACAATTTTTCAAAATAAATGGAGAAAGGCCATCACAATCTAATTTTGCTGACTCATTAAAGCATTCAGCCGCCAGATGGCAGTCAGAATCGGTGACATCTAAGCAACCAATATTTAACATAGTAGGAATGGCATTGAGCGAATCATCGTCATTCCACAGCGAGCCCGGCTCAAAGTTAGATGCAAAGAACTTAGCAAATAGATTAGCGACCCCAATATCCGAGGAGGCTGAATGATCTTCAAATGACATATGGGAGGGAAAGTAAGAAGATGTTCGTTTAGAATTGATAAAGTGCCAGAATGATTTAGGATTGGTAGTTAATTTACGCTCTATATCAGCAATATATTGGTTGTATAAGAATTTATTGAGGAACTCAAACTCACGCTTATGCTGTTTGTAACGGTCAAAGTCACCAGCATCACCGCTATCTAAGTAGCGCTTATAGAATTTATTTCTAAGGTTTTTATATTTCTTTAGTCCTTGCGTGTACCATGGCAGTCTGTAACAACTTTGAACCCTAGTTTTAGTATATCTGCCCACAATAGTAGAGAGAAAAGATAAAAAAACTTCATAGCTTGTATTCACATCTGCATGCGAGAGGACCTCCGCCCATCTAATATTAGAAATATCGTTACGGATAGAATCTAAACTGCTAGAATTAATATAAGTAAAAGGCAAGCGAGAATTAATTGGGCGAAAAATATAACAAGTAATAGAGATTAACAAAGGCTTGTGATATTTATTTAATATTTAAATAGAAACTCAATCGTTTACCTTTTTGTAAGAAATATTCTAGTTCTAGATAACAAAAGACGATTATTTTTGGATCTTGAGTACCCAAAAGATGGATCGTACGCTAAATATTTGGTTAGCCTAACGTTTCCGGCAAACGGAAACGGTTCTTGCAATGGAAATACCCGATTCCCAGTGTTTACATCGCGGAATTGTCAATTCTTCTTTGCTGCCTTCTTCCACAATTAACCCATTCATTCGAAAGATGTTTACATTGACTTGAATTAACACACAAAATGCATGCACATCAACATCCTGTCATTTTTTCTTTGGTGACTGTACATTGAGGGAGTGCTGCTGGCCGGCATAAGGGTTAAACACACACCCTGCCAGGCCCGTCGGGGGGTTAAAAGGGGGTCAAACCGCCCCAGCGGGCGAAACCCCTGCTCAAGGACATTCCCCGCTGGCTATGAATATTGAATGCAGACGAAAGTCACGAGATCCCGAGTAACTTTCCAAGTTAACAGGTCACAATGCCACACGGAAAAATACACAACAACACAGCCGGGCTCAAAATAATAGCACTTTCTGTTGGAAACTATGAAAGTTACCATCTTAATCAAATTTTAATTTTAAAACCTTGTAATACAGATTTATTAAAATAAAAAAGCTGAAACTAAAATAATCTTATCAGAGGTTCAAAAAACATACAAATTAAAAAAAGGTAACCTACTATCCTGACATATCCTGCGTAATATCACGCTCTTAAGTTGAACTCGGAATTTGCAAGATCATTTATTCCTCGTAAATGCTAAATATAGTCTTAATATTTTGCCCGCAGCTGTGCACATACATACACGGTCGAAAAAAAAAGAAACAACGACGACGACTAACCGAAATGTGCTAATAGGCGGCCCAAGGGCGGCGAAAAGGGGTGGTCGGGGGGGCGGTAGTTTAGCGGGTGGCTAACCAAGGGCGTAGGCGTAGTTACTTTCACAGGGGGGCCGAAGTTGTATGTTATTGTAATAAATATTTATTGATTTCGCTACTACTGCCCCCTTGAACCAAAATCCTGGCTACGCCCTTCTGGCTAACTCGGTTTTTTTTTTACTTACCATGTTTTCCATGCCAAAACGGAGTGGGAAGAAGAAGAAGAGGGGGAAGTTTGAATTTGGATGTTTGGGTTTCGCTGCAGGTTGCTTTTAGCGTTGTTGTTGTTGTTCTTGTTTGTGCGACAGGAGGCGGGGGGCGTGGCGAGGATGGGTTTTCCGCGTTTTTGGGTGTGCCGTGCCTCGAAAAATTATATACTTTTTTGGCGCCTCTCTTCCCCGTCTTTCGCACTCTCTCTCTTCCTCACTCTCTCTCGCTTGCTCCCGCCGATTTGTTTGGTTTATTTTCGTATTAGAATTTCTTGTTGCTGGGCCTTTGTTGTTGCTTTTGCAGATCTCGTCTCGTCATTAATATTTGATTTTTATATTGGACAATATATATTTATAAACTTGCTAATTTTCCTTCCCTTGCTCTCTCTCTCTGTCTCTCTTCACCGGTTCACGCCGCTCTCGCTCTCTCAGCGTACTTTGCACAGAAAGAAAATTAATTAAACTATTGTTGTTGTTTGGAAAAGGCCAAACGACAGCGAGTGTTGACAACTTGGTTGGTTTTGTTGGGCTTGGGCTAAGGGAAAATCGATTTTCCCGCGAGCACGGCGTTATTTGTTTTATTGCAACTTTTTTCACTATGCGTATCGCGGTGTGTGTGTGTGCGCGGTGCGGGTGTTGTGTCTGTGGCTGTGTGTGTGTGTGCGACGGCGGCGGCAAGACTTTTTGCAATGCAAAATCACTTTTCACGATTCAGCGGTTGGGCGCGCACATTGCAGAGGATCGGAATCGGATTCGGACTCGGAATCTCTCCGGATTCGTTAAGTTCAGCAGCCGAGTTTTGAAGGTGGTGGTGGGCGGCCGATAAAAACATTAACCGATGTTTTCAACTTTTAGAAATATCGATTATTTTTTAATCACCCCAGCAAGGTCTTATTTTTGAAGCGCTTTTCTCTCCCTTCTCTCAATAGAAAAGAAATTTTAAGATACAAAATCAGCAGAAATGTTGCGGTTGTTTGCCTTAACACATCTGTTAACTTACTTGTATTCGAAAAATACCAAAACTGTTGAGACATAGCGCGTACACACACCTATCGATTGATTTTTCAACCATCTCTATTTGCTGATTGTAGCGGGAATTCAAATAAAAATAATAAAGTAAATTAAAGCGTATTTTTCGATTCAATTATTTTTGGAAAACTAAGAAATGTATTATTTATGTTAAGATAGAAAATCACCTAAGTTTTAAGGTTTTTGACTTAACATTTCTGTTAACATACTTATAAACCAAAAATACCACAGCGCGTACACAAACCTATTGATTGAAGCGGGAATTCAAATAATTAAGTTTGTGTATTATTCGAAAACCCAACAAAATTATTAAAACCACAGTTCATATTTTGAATGTTTTTCGTAAATCAATCAGATTCAAAAACAATTACTGGAAGTAAATATTGTTCATCTGAAAAGATAGAATGATATACACAAAGGAGTATACTTTGAAATTAACTGCTTCTTTAAAATAGTGCCCAATAAAAACCAAATAAACTTAAACTATTACAAATAAGTGACTCGCCTCGAGGAGCGCTCAAGGTGCCAGGACACTCAAGCGTCCCCGAGGACGTGTTTTCTTTTATTCAAAATTTACATTTCGTATTTTATATATATTCTTTCTGGCGCTCGGGTTTTGCCCCAAGCACCTGTGTGTGTGTTTTGCTTAAATTTAGTTTTCTCGTCACCGAAAGATCATCATAAGTTTTTGTGGGTGTGTGGCTGTGTCAAAGGTTACAAACATTTTTGGGGGAATATTCTCGCTTGTTTGGTGGCCAATACAATAGGCTAATAAATATTTATACATTAATTTGTTTTTCCGATTTTTTGTGTTTTTTTTTGTTTTGTTTTGTGGTTTTTCTGTTCTGCCTTAGAATGTGAGTTTTTGTAATTGTGATTTAAAAGTAGAATTTAAGGGTTCCTCCGTTAAATTATGTGTACAAAAAAAAGGGTATTAAAATTATAATTAGACTTTTTCCTTTAACATAGTATTTATCCAAGAAATGTATGTGTCTGAAGCTGCTCCAGCTGGATACCAGCCACTCTATGTGTCCGACTTCCACAGCTTGATGGTCTTGTCGTTCTCGAGCGCCGCGGAAGCGATGATGTTTTCCGTGGGATGGCAGGCGGTGCACAGCACGGTGTCGGTGTGTCCCTGCAGCTTCTGCACGACCTCCTTGCTCTGCAGATTCCAGATGTAGACCATGTTGTCCTCGCTGCCGCTGACGATCCACTAAAAAGTGATGGTCAATATTAAATTTAGTTGATAAAATAATAATAATATCTCACCTTTCCGCCCGTCACCGAGAAGTTGGCGAATATGCAGTACTTCTCGTTCTTGTGGCCCGTGTACGTCTTCAGGCACTTGCCCTTCGAGTAGTCCCACAGCTTGAGCGTGTTGTCCAGCGTGGCGGCCAGGATGTACTTGCCGTTGGGCGAGAATTTGACAAAGCTCACGGGCGGATTGTCGTCGTCGATCAGGGTCTTCAGGCACTGGCCACTGGCCGTGTCCCAGATGCGGCACAGCCCGTCGTAGCTGCTGCTCACGATCAGCGAGCCGTCGCGATTGAAGTGAACCGCCGAAACGGGATCCGAGTGGGCGGGCAGGGTCTTCAGGCACTTGCCAGTGCGCACATCCCAAATGCGAACGCTCTCGTCGAAGCTGCCGGAGACAATTAGATTCGACTGCGGATTGAAGTTGCAGCAGAACACATAGTTGCTGTGCCCCTTCAGCGTCTTCAAACTCTTCCCGGTGCTCAGCTCCCAGACCTTGAGCGTCTTGTCATCGCTGCCGCTGACGAGGAGCCGCGAGTCCGAGCTCCAGGCCACATCGCTGATGCCCAGCTTGTGGCCCGAAATGGTCTTCTCGAACTTGCCATCGTAGGCGCCCCAGATTTTGATGAGTTTATCAGCGGCTAAGGGAGAAAAAGACCGTAATTATTTCTGTATCCTGCTAATCTTACTTATATTACTTACTTAGCTAGGAATTTACAAACCTATTATTTTTCATAAACAAACTATGCATTTCTTCTTTCTAACTGGGCTATTATAAACAAATAATTCTAATTATCAGTAAGTAAGTAAATAAATAAACAGATCGTTTGCAACAGATGGCCTAATAATTTTGGTTCTTAAAACAATTAGGAGCGCAACCCAATTTAAATCTAAAATTAAAGACCATTTCAAGTAAAATAAAAACAAATTGTAAAATTAAATTAAAGTCAAAATAATAAATATAATTATCATAAAATATTAATAAATCCCTTTGTAAAAATACATGAAAATAATAAAGTAACATATGTATGTCGAATTCAAAATTGTTAGTAATAAGATATTTATAGTTTTTAAATCTTTTTTGTTCAAATAAGCTTGCTTTTCGAATTCAATGTGACTAGTGATACAAATATAAGTGTAAACTTGCTGCCCTAGGATAATAATAACAATAATATATAAAAAGAATAATAAGAGAGTTTTAAACTCAATCAAGGACAATTTTATTTAATTTTTAAGGGTCCTTTAATGGAAAATACTTCTTTAAATTAATCTACAGTTATTGATGTTCCTTTAATTGCCCTTAAAAAAGCAACACCTTTTGGCAAACCAACTAATAACTATCATTAGACTAGCTCTTGTGCTAAATTTTATTTAATTTTTAAGGCTCCTTTAATGGAAAATACTTTTATAAATCAATCTACAGCTATTGATGTTCCCTTAATTGCCCTCAAAAATCCACCCCTTTTGGCAATCCAACTAATAACTAACTAATAACATAAGACTAGCACTTGTGCTAAATTTAATTTAATTGTTAAGGATCCTTTAATTGAAAATACTTCTAGAAGTCCATCTACATCTATTGATGTTCCTTTAATTGCCCTTAAAAAAGCAACCCCTTTTGTCAATCCAACTAATAACTATCATTATACTAGCACTTGTGCTAAATTTTATTTAATTTTTAAGGCTCCTTTAATTGAAAATACTTCTAGAAGTCAATCTAGAGCTATTGATGTTCCTTTAATTGCCCTGAGAAATCAACCCCTTTTGGCAATCCCAACTAATAACTATCATTAAACTAGCACTTGTGCTAAATTGGATCTGTCCACCCAACTTGGAGGTTTGCAATTGCAGTTCCCCCTTCCCCAGGACATCCTTCAGCCCCACATAGTCCATGTGGCTGGGTTCCCAGGGATCCCATCCAATCTAATCCAATCATATATGTATGTACTCACAGGAGCTGGCCAGCCACTCGCCATTCGGACTAAACTTGACCGCCGAGACCGCCTTGGTGTGCCCGGCCAGGGTGAACTTGAGCGTGTAGTTGGGCTTCACCGAGAGGGAGCTCTTGTTGGAGGCGCTGCTGTTCGAGGAGGTGGTGGCCCCCGGCTGGCCCACCGAATTGGGCTGCAGCGAATTGGGACCGCTGGGCGCCGTGGGCAGTGGCTGCGGCGGCGGATGCACTACGCCGGGATGGCCGCCATGGACGGCTCCGATGGGCACCATTGCTTCGTCCTCCTGCTCCTTGTTTTCTGGTTGCTCCCGATCTTAGTTCGCCTCCTTGTTTATTTTGCCCGTTTCTTTTCTTTTTCGGCACGCCGCACACGTGCTTCTTCTTCCTGCTGTTCCGGCGAAAAGGGGGGAACGCCGCCGCGCTGGTGGCGTGTGGTCCTCGGGCGATTGCGGTCCGCTGGGCGCTGCTCCTGTTTCCGGTGGTGACCGGGCTTCGTTCTGGTCGGCCTGCGCTTTGTTTATTTTAGCGGGCGCTTGGTTTTTTGGCTCGCTGTGCCACACGTGAAAATAATAACAATTATGGTCACTCTAATAAATAACAAAAATTTGCAGCCGCTCTTGTGTGACCGTCGCGGGCCAGCGCAGGAATACCGCAGCCACCGCCATCCGGTTGAGCGTGTTTGTGCGGTTTTTGGGGGTTTTTCCAGCTACAGGACGAGTTTCCCGCCGAAAGTGTCTGGAAAATCAAGAACAAAACTTGGCGAGTGCCAAATCGCATGCTATCCCCCATTGCCTTATTCAAATTCAAATCTGTTCAACTTTTGCGCCAAAAAACTCGAACCTGCCTTGCGTTGCCAGATCGTCGGCTCAATTCGCACATCTTTTTCGCGTACAGTTAGATTTAAATTTATTGATGTATTGTTCATTTGAAAGTCTAACTAAAGTAATTGTTAAAAGTTCTTGATAAAATATATGTTACAAATGGAAAACGGAAGAAGAAACTTTGATATTGGGATATTTTTGGTACAGGGAACACTACGAGCAGGTCTTTTTTAGTAATGTCGAATCAAGGTTTACAAAAAATAGCTAATTTATTAATTTTTACTGCCTACTAAGTCTTTTGTTTTTGTGACAAAAGTAAGTAGAACAAGTTTAGTTTTAAAAATGTCCTTAATGCAAGTGTATTTTATATTTTATAATCTACACATATTATTATTATTTATTTAAAAGTAAGGACAATCTTTTAAAAAATCAAAATAACAAATAATAATTATTTTCGGTTTTTAAATTAATTTTTTAAAAAGAGGGAACTAGAGGTGGCCCAAATGGCAGCCTTGCTCGAGTCACCTATCGAGTCAATCGATAGAAAAGAAGAAGAAGAAGCCACAGAAAAACAACAAAACAAAAACATTTCCCGAGATTCCGAAGGAGACCACTGGACACGAAAAGGAGCACCAAAAGGACCTGGCCAGGATGAACGGACTGCCGCCGAGCAAGCACTACAACTTGACGCACTACCAGCAGCGCTACAATTGGGACTGCGGCCTGTCCTGCATCATCATGATCCTGTCGGCGCAGCAGCGTGAGCAGCTCCTGGGCAACTTCGAGGCCGTTTGCGGGGAGGAGGGCTTCGGCTCGAGCACCTGGACGATCGACCTGTGCTACCTGCTGATGCGCTACCAGGTGCGCCACGAGTACTTCACCCAGACGCTGGGCATCGATCCGAATTACGCGCAGCACACCTACTACTCCAAGATCATCGACAAGGACGAACGGCGGGTGACGCGCAAGTTCAAGGACGCCCGGGCGCATGGACTGCGCGTGGAGCAGCGCACGGTGGAAATGGAGGTCATCCTGCGCCATTTGGCCCGCCACGGACCCGTCATCCTGCTGACCAACGCCTCGCTGCTCACCTGCGAGGTCTGCAAACGCAATGTCCTGGAGAAGTTCGGGTGAGTAGTGACCCTTTCATAGTTTTCCATTCATTTTCCCATTATAATCCCTGAGCCTCGCACTGAAAAGCTGTTTTTATATACCCTGCATCGCCCGAAATACACGAACACGTGGAACAAATAGATATGCTGGACACTATGTGGTGCTCTGTGGCTACGACATGGCCGTCCAGAAGCTCTTCTATCACAATCCCGAGGTTCACGATGGCCGTGAGTATTCCTTGAACCAATTACGCTGCAAAATTCATTGATTTTCATTTTTGGCCGCGTTCCACAGACATCTGTCGCTGCCTCATCGAGTCCATGGACACGGCCCGTCGCGCCTACGGCACCGATGAGGATATCATCTTTATCTACGAAAAGAAAGCCACCAGGGAGTAAGAAGACCTGAACGAGGATTAGGAACAGGAAGAGGAACAGGAGTACCTGCCAGTTGCCAGGTTGCCAGCGGATAAGAAGGGAGGATTGGAATCTGCGCTTGTGATATTAGGAATTTAGGAGGAGGGAAGAGCATGTAAGGGGTTCTATGCCCAATTTTGCTGTGCCGTGTTTTCGTGTCCATGTGTTGGCCCATCTAAGTTCTAGGCAAATCGCCTATTTTGTAGAGAGAGATTCAGAAATTGTCTTCTTGTAATAATAGCGTTTAAAGTTACAAGTTTCCCGCTTTGGTAGCCAGATGTATACTAAATACTACAAACTAAATGGAAGTGCAATAAAAATATAGCCCCTTAAAAAAGAAGATTTAATAATCTTGCAAATACAACAAAAATAAGCATGATAGACTATTGTATATAAGTTAAATTAATAATATTCCCAAGTTGATTGCATTTGTAACATAATTACCTTTAAATTTTTAAGTTTTTTAGGTAGATAGGCATTTGTTTTAGCACTTAAATGAGCCAACACAAAGCATGTAATTCAGGAGGTTTAGAGAAAGAGCTGCTTGGTTAACTTTGGCACAACAGTGTACTTTATTTAGGTATTGTTAGCAGTTGGTCCCCATAAAAAACAACAATTACACACACGCTTAGGTAAACTAGCCAGGCAGCCGTCTACATTATAGAGCCATTAACGATAAACGGAGAGTAATCTAAGGCCATCTCTTCTCCAACTTAATATTCAACAAATTTCTGCGGACAACATTCCTTTGGCCTTAGCTTACCTTCCGTTTGCCGACCCCAAAATTAATTTCTATATTTGTTTCAAGATTACATTCCAATAAAAAGATTATTGTTCCAATTTGTTGAGACAGCGAGTCGTCGGTCTCCTTAATGCGGCTTCGCCTTGTCATCCAGCTCATCGCCACAGACCGTCTTGTAGATCTGCTGCAGCTTGATGTGCGGCGCCTCCACGGGCAGGATCATTTTGCCATTCTCATCCGTGTACTTGCAGTACGGTAGTTCCGAGAAGACCTTGAAACCGTGCGAGCGGAAAATCTTCTGCGAGAAGATGCCAGTGGCGTCGGCCTTCATCAGCCGGAAGCCATTCTTTCGGGCCACCTCCACGGATCGTTTGACCAGCTCGTTGGCAATGCCCTGGCCGCGATAGCAGGAGTCCACCGACAGAATGCGCACATCGAAGATGGACTTCACATCGAAGTGCTCGAAGAGATTGTGTTCGATATTGTGCTTGTGCAGCATCTCGAAGATAACCCGGAAATGTATATCCTTAGTTTCCTCCAGTTTCTCCAACGCCCTGGCCGTGTCGTCCGGTTTCAAGATGCCATTTAGAACGACGCCGGCTATTTTGCAGCTACCCTCATCCTTCGCGTCCACCGCCATCACACTCATCCGATCCTGGATGGCCTCGGCACAGTGAATCTCCAGAGCGGAGCAGTTGACACCGTTTTGACACAACCCGGCGGCCTTGTTGAGCGGCTCGTCGGCAAAGAAGCTGCGACGCAGATGCTCCAGCACCTGGTCACAGTGCTCCGGGCCGATCATTTTGAACTCCATCCTTGTATCGCAGCCGGCGGAGTCGCTAAACCTACGGTTCTGTGGGCCGAATATATTTTTTTAAAGATTATTAATATTAAATATAATAATCAAATGAAAGATGGATTTTTTAAGCATTCAGATACATATTAAAGTAATTTTTTAATTAACTATAGAATCATATAACCATTAAAATATGATAATATGATATGATGATATAGGAAATAACGAGCTTATGATTAACTTTTCTAGTTATCCCACTGAGTTAAAATATACGGGTGGGTTTATACTTTTCTCGTTTAATTAGCTTTATAAACATTTCCAAACTTTTCTAATTTTTCTTGGCACATGCACATGTGCATTTAGGACTCGTATGTGTGAAGGACACTTTTCTTCTATAACTCAATTAGTCGTAGTAACTCTCTTCTGCCTGCCCTCTCAACCTTTTGTCTCTCACTCTCTACACACTTTCCCTGTCGTTTGCTCTAATGACACACCCCCATCGAAAGCCGCCCACAAAGTACCACCCCATTCCGTCTCATCCTGTCCATTTAATCTTTGCAAGCGTGAGAAAGGTCGTATAACACCTGTGGTAAACCGATTTTGAGCTGGATTTCATGGAGTTCATAGGTTAGTTTTACTTACTCGGTACTTTAATGCTTAATAGGATCGGATGGGATAAACTGGACGGTATCGAAGAAGGTATCGAGACTTGTTGTTTGTTTTCCTCGGAGAGGAAAAGCTGGGAAAAAATGTGTAACCTACTTGCGGGCGCTTTCAGATGCGAAATGCGACTGGAGCAGCCGGAGCAGCCGACTAAAGCGAACCACCAGCAACAGCATCCCATTTATACACAGCGAGAAAAATATATAGTTCTTCAAAATGTATTATATTATTTATGGAATTTGTCTTGTTCCTTACATGTATAGTTTTAAATATTTAAAAAATGTAATATAATTTCAAATATTTAAAAATTTGGAAATAAGGGGAATGGAAACATATTAAATGGGTAACCTTAAAAGATAAAGTCTTTAATATTTTAAACATTATATAATTAATTTCCAACTCCCAAAGAGGCGTACCCACTTTTCGCTCGGTGTACGCCCTCGTGTTTGCCTCATTGCCGAAGCATGAGAAAAATTCTGTCCTCTGGGATGGGGTAAAAAATAAAGGTAGGGGTTCGCCCTGTTGTCCTTGTTGTTGTTGTCGTCGTCTCCTTCGAGTGACAGCCATGCGTATACGCAACGTACGCACACTCGAGCAAGAGGAGTGATTGCCTGGCCGTGACTTATGCCAAAAATACAAATACGAAATACCCATACAATTGCACACAATCGAGAGTTCTTTCCCCTCTTCCCCCTTGCCAAATTCCCGGAAAAATCCCTCCTAAAGCCCCTCGTTTTTGTTGTTCGTATACGCACCAACTGTTGATTCCGCCTTTGTGAGGTTATACACGACGTACAATTTATATATACAAACGTATTCGCACTTATGTATATACCGATTTTGACTTTCCAAACGACTAGGACGTGCCCCATTTAAAATAAGGAAGGGGAAAATCCTTTGTTGAAAACTATATGCAAATTGTTGATGGAAGGCAGGACAAATATAATGGAGCTCTTATATGATAATTAGTATCTCGTTTGTCATAAAATAAAACCAGCTTTAATTTTGATAGATTTGTACTTAAAATGTGAATTGTTTTTTTTTAATATAATAATAAAAACAAGTAATGAAGTAAAAGAAAATAATAAGGGCTTTACATGTACGGTATATATGGTATGCATGACCTCGTCTCTTTTTGGAGTCTAGACAACGCCCCCCGGACAACTGTTGCTTGACCAAAACTACCACTACATTCCGACCTTTCCTCACCTCGTAGCTCCCTGCTGTGCATATTCATTACTTTAATTAATACCCCTACTTGGTCGCCACTGTGCTGTGGCCAAATGGGGCGGACACGTGTCCATTGTCACATAATGGGTAAACAGCACTAACAAAAACAAAAACTAACTAAAATAGTAAACTGAAATTATAATAGTTAGTATTACCTAATGATATAAATTATGAAAAGAGGCGTATAATGAAATGGTTATACGAAGTATTTACAATAAACATTTCATTATTATAATAGTGAACAATAAAATATTTCTCCCTCTGCACAATAGCGTTTAATAGACACTATGTACATTCAAATCGGGGCACATGACCGCACAAGACGCATATTCAAATTGCGTGACTCTGCTCCGGATGGATGTGGCAGTACCCGTACCCCCAACCGTAACCGGAGACCCAAAGACATCCGAATAGTCGCAGTACAAAGGTATTTCAAAGTCAGTGCCGCTGTGCGTTTATCTGCGTGTGGCAGCTATTTTTTGTTTGCCCTCCGAATATTTTGGTGCGTTATTGGATGACAATCATCTTCAATTGAAATCAATCTGCGCTAACGGTAATAAAATGGAATTGGCATCACTGCGGCACAAATCTATCTAGCTGTCAATCGGCCTATCGAGCGACTATCGAACGGGTTGAACCACCAACTGACCTTGAACATCCTTTTGGCGCCCCATTGAAAGGGGTGGGGTATCAGAATCTTTGGTATCCTATATCTTAAAAGGTGTATGGTCCACCTTTTAAAATCCATTGTTCAAAAACTTAATTATATACGTAGAACAATTTAATTTTCGAATATTTCGAAGTGAGTGATAGCTCCATGACTTCTTTTTACAAAAACATTTTTAACTACTTGTTCATAAATTGGCAAAAATTAAAACTTTCCAGGTTTAAATGTAGATCGATTGGGAATTTTATTACGAGTAAAAGAGGTATTACATTCCATATTTGGAACATTATTTTAATTTTTATGACAAAAATACGGTTTTTGTTTGGTTAGAAAATCAGGATTTTGATTTTTTGGTGCATATTTAAACATTTTCTTAATTATTACAACTGACAGCTTTAAAGTGCTTGTTAACACATCATTACTAAGATCACTAGCTAGATACCTATTATTTAGAGACACATTGTTTTCGAAATCTCATGAGATCCTAAAATCTGAAATCATATTAGAAGGCCGCATACCAAATTTCATATACCGAACCCTAGGAACCACCGAGTTACAGGTGTTTACGGTTCGGACATGCCTTTTATCAACGCATACTGTGCCATTAATTGTGACAGCTGTTCCGGAACAGCTGAGGGGCCCGAATCTAATTCCGAGCCCCCATAATGGCCCCTCCGATTCGATTCGATACCATCCCCAAGATCGTCACTCTCTCACCAGGTCGCGAGTCGCTCAACGAGTCTTCATTCGCTGGCCCAGTTTGTTGTCGTGCTGTTCTGTTCGCTGTTCCCTCATTTCTGTCGTCTATTTTATTTTCGTAGTGTCGCATATATTTAGTAAATATTTTGTTGTTGTTATTTATAGTTCGGACTTGGTTGGCGTGGTGCGTGTTGTATTTTTGTTTTTCCTTTTTTTTTTTTTGTTAATTTTTTGTTCCTGAGTGGCATATTTTTGTTTGATTTTTGATGGCAGCCAAAGACCGTCTGCCCATATTTCCCTCACGTGGGTGAGTAGTTGATCCTGGCCGGGTAGTAAATCCCTGTTATATATATGTTATATCCCCTTGTAGTGCCCAAACGCTGATGAAATCGCGTTTGGCGGGCGCAACCAAGGGACATGGACTGCTCAAGAAAAAAGCAGATGCCCTGCAGATGCGCTTTCGTCTGATTCTGGGCAAGATCATAGAGGTGAGAGATTACTTGGGATTGCCATTAAGACATATATATATATATATTTGCCAGACCAAAACCCTGATGGGCCAGGTGATGAAGGAGGCCGCCTTCTCGTTGGCCGAGGTCAAGTTCACCACCGGGGACATCAACCAGATTGTCCTGCAGAATGTGACCAAGGCCCAGATCAAGATACGCACCAAAAAGGATAATGTGGCCGGGGTCACGTTGCCCGTTTTCGAGCCCTATACGGATGGCGTGGACACCTACGAGTTGGCCGGCCTGGCACGTGGTGGCCAGCAGCTGGCCAAGCTGAAGAAGAACTACCAGAGCGCAGTGCGTCTGCTGGTGGAACTGGCCTCATTGCAGACCTCCTTTGTGACCCTCGACGATGTCATCAAGGTCACCAATCGGCGGGTCAATGCCATCGAGCACGGTGAGTTGGGAGAAACAAAATATCATATAAATCTGGAATATTTCCATTTTAAAGACTCTCTTATAAAGATATATCTAAACATTTACCTGCTCATAGAAACAAAAAGATCAAAAATAGTAAACCATTGGGTAATTTTTCATATCAATTTGGGTCTGCTCTGTGTGATATTTCCGAAAATCATATATTTTGTACCATATTGATATGAAATATTATCATTTTGATATGAAATCTTACCATTTTGATATGAATTCATACCATTTTGATATGAAATCTTACCATTTTGATATGAAATCATACCATTTTGATATGAAACCATTTTAATCTTATGTTGTTCCGTTTTTTCTATTTGTGATAAATTAACGATCCTTCTCTTTACCATCAGTGATCATCCCCCGCATCAACCGAACCATTGAGTACATAATCAGTGAGCTGGATGAATTGGAGCGCGAGGAGTTCTATCGACTGAAGAAGATCCAGGACAAGAAGCGTGAGGCACGCAAGGCATCCGACAAGAAACGCGAGGAGCAACGTCGTCTGGGCCAACTGACCGAGGAGACCAAGGAGGTGCAGAATATCCTCGATGAGGACGGTGACGAGGATCTGCTCTTCTAGAGCCGATGCCACATCCATTATACCTTATCCCAACATAACCATACACCAACCACCTGCTGCTACGCCCGACGAACCCAATCACTCAACTCTGCTACCTCACAACCTCCCATCAAAAGACCACCTCTCTGTTTTTCGTTGTTGTCGTTCATTGTGATCCGGATGTTGTACCACTTGTCGTTCTTGGAAATACAATCCGTAATCGTAACCTCTGTGATCGCTATGTTTTGTGGTTTCAATTGTCAATTGGCTGCCGTGTTTCTGCACTGCTGAAAAAAATTAAGTATACGCAGAGTCGGAAAAAATATCAAGTATACGTTTGATAAAGCATGAACATATTGATAAATTAAAATATTAGTTATGTGGTTTCAAAAGGTATACAAGAAATATTTAGGAACATAAAAGTGACGACGAACAACATGAAGTTTATATGGAATGAAAAAGCTTTCAAAAGAGGCATCTAAAATTCATTGCGAAATTTGGAAGCTGAATTCCTAAATCTCTCAGAATGCGCAGCATTAAAAAAAGATTTATGTTAGAAATTCCGAACCCTATTTTAAGAATTGCGTTTGGTATTAAGTTCAGTTATACTGCAGCTAAAATAAGCTTTTAATATTTCGAAAGGAAATTATTTAGAATTTAGAAACAATTCCTCAACATTTATGTTTTTTTTCAGTGCTTGTTTTTTTTTATACCCTTATAGAAAAAGATATTCTGATCCAACATTCTAATAAACTTTAAATAGGTTATCAATATGCAAGCATGACTATCAATAGTAATTAGTGGCCTAATTTGGATTTTATTGAGTCAATTTATAATAGTCGTAGCTTTGAAAGTCACAAGTAGTGTCTCAAATAAAATGGTAAAGTATTTACCTTTCTATATATTTCCCTTGAGGTTATTTATATTTGTAAAAATATTTAGGGACAGATTAGGGATCGGGTATTTACAACCTTGATTATTTTGATGTTGCATATTTTCCACAGTAGCTTCTCTTTAATATTCATTTAATGGCCCATCAAATCGTCCGATTAAGCTGCTTATGAGCCAAAATTGCCAATTTAGCTATGCCAATTTGGGGATTCACGAGCGGCACGTGCCGATCAGAGAGCGCAAAACTTAAATGATCTCGAACCCGATCCAAAATCAAGACGAAGAAAGTAGACAACCGACTTTAGTTTAGTATATGTATGCATATAAAATCATGTTTATTCATTTTCCATTTAGCCTTATACACGTAATAGTTTGCCATTGACCACTGGGTGTTCTGGTTTTAAGGTTCCCTCTCTTAAATTCGGCTTGAATTTTTAGTTTTGAAAATTGCGTGAAGCGTGAAAAGGAAACCGAAAAAAATCAAAATGAACGCGACTTCACACACAAAATATTCCATTTAAAAATGCACAGTAAGCTTAAAGTTAAGGTGAATATTCAATATTCGCCCTGATCAGAGATCAGATGATGTGACATTATGATACGTTCAATTTCAATTTCAATTTCCGTTTGTTTCTTTTTGTTCCTCTTTACCATTCCAAGTGCTTTGTACTCTCTTTGCGTGTGTATACATAATACATGTACATATGTATATTCAATATACGATCTGTGCTCCGACATTTCTATCAGGTTTCTCTTTTTGCATGCGACAGTGTAAATACCAAGTATGTAAATATGTTTTCTTTATGCTTTATGTAAATACCGTTACGTTTATGTATATTGAGCTTATTTAGAAAAAAAAATTAACAATTACATTCATCAATAACATCCATTACACATTTTCTTTAAATGTATATGCAAAAAAAATTGTGATCCAACATTTTGTTGGTAAATATACAAAAATATTGGATATATGTAGGTATGTATATTGATCGATATTTATTCTATATATATCGAAACTTATCGCGGTATAATCGAAGCCGCTGCATACAAAAAAACGTGCATACTTTTCAGCTCATTAGTTTAGTTTAGTACAGTTGCGCTTGCATGTGCTAAGCTAGGCTCTTCCTATCTCTCTCTTTCTTTTCCACATGTATCCGTAGGAAACAGAAACAGAAAGAGAGAGGGAGATGGAGTAACAGGGTGTGTGTGAGAGGGATATAGAGATCGAGATGCTTTAGGCTTTCGGCATTTGATGACTTTTTGCAATCGCTTTGGCTTTTGCCTTTGATTTTGTTATCGTTGCGATTGTTGCAATGGTTGCTATTGTTGTTTTTGCTGCTGCTGCGGTTGTTGTTGTTGTGGTTATTGTTGTTGCTACCGCTGCCAGCGTCGACGTCGGCGGCAATTGTGACGTCATAAATATTTGTTGCGTCTTTTGCGAACCTGGCATCACACATTTGTCCTGCAAACGATAAGCGGGAGAAAAGAAATCGAAAGTCCGGAAAGAGTGCCGCATTTTTGGAGTGGGAAACAAAGACGGGAGATAAGCCGGAAAGAAGTATTTATTCAATTTGTGTCTTTGACTGCGGACCCCATTAGTTAAATACTGATCGTGGCAAAGTTTTTCGTTGCAAAACAAAGCGCAGCTAGCAAAATTCAAGGCAGTGACTGTGAACGTGATCGATCGTGACTGGCAGTGTGACCAGCTTGAAATCATAAAGTACAGTCTGTTAAAAGCATTAAGTGTCGTACAAGGATTCTTTTTTATTTTAATTCAATTAAATAATTTAGAGTATGGCATACACAAAAGCAAATCATACAAATAATTTATTTAAATAGGTATATAAAAAATGATAACAGGTGATAAATAACATTTTTAAAACTAAGCGAATTTCACTAAACATAAAAATTAGGAATAAAATAATATAGCTATAAAATAGAAAACAATAAATTCAGCATAAAATCCGTCAGCTCATCTTTAAAATTATATAGTTCACAAATCTAATAGTCGAATTATTAATTTTAATTAATATTCATTTTAATTGATTTGGTCACACTGCATAGTAACGAATATTTCAATCTAGTTTTTAAAAATGAATAGAAGTATAAAACATGCCGCTCAAGTTTTGCTGAAAAATTCATCAAGTAATAACCGTGTGCGAGTGTTTTTGAGTGTATTTGCGTGTCCAGAACAGAATGTGGCGCTATTAGAAATTTATTGTCATCAGATATATTAAGTAGAAATGTTAAGGTAAGTTTAGTCGAATTTGGACTTGGGGTTTAAAGCTCTCGAGGAAGGATCGGATCTGTCCTACATGAAGTAATATATATACATAGTTACACTGGACGCAAGAAAGGCAAGCCAAAATTAAGATTGTGATAATGATGAAATAAATAATGCATAGTTTAAGGCTTACATTTATAAAAGAAAAATCTACTGCTGAAGAGTTATCTCTATTAAGATTTTAAAAAGTACACAATTTCTCGGGGAAATTTCAGGGAATTTTAAATGGTACAAATTAAAATCTACTTTTAATTTTGGCTTGATTTTCTTGTAAGATGAGGGGTAAAGTCATAAAGATGCAGTTAGGATTTCTTTTGGGGGGTATTTCCGTTTTGATGGATGGGTGCTGACTACTGTGGTTACTGTGGGCTATATGGCGTTGGCTACTTCTACGGCTATTTGGCTACTTCTATATGGCTACATCTACGGCTAGTTTGGTTTTTAGGGCTACTGCTCTGACAACTCAAATACAACTGACTCGGGTGGCACGGATGACGCTGACGGTACTCTCAGTACCTTTTGACCCCGAAAGCAGATGCCCATTATCCACTTGGAGCCGCGATTCCGTGATCCCGTGCTCCCGCCGCCGCCGCTCGATTCCTTGCTGTGAATCCGCGAGATGGCCGGATCGGCCTGGGGATCCGTTTCCGCATCCGCCTTATCCACCCGATCCCTGCTCTTTTCCCGCGCCTTGTTCTGCAGGCGGGGTATCAATCTCTGACGCTGTTGGGGCTCGTGGATCATCACAATGCTGGCGCTGCTCGGCTTCCTTCCATTTAGCCTTTTATGCGGCGGTGATATCCTGCGGGTGATGGAATAGAATCAGTAGAATCATCTTGGGGCAAAATCAAGCTAAAGCTTACCGCTTTCCGGTGGCCGATGGATCGCCCGCCGGCTGCACTGCATCCGTATCCGGTGCCGTGTTGTAGGCACCCGAGTACATGGACGCCCTCTTTGGCGCCCACTCCGGATGACCCCGAACCGACAGCTGGGTGGCCAGACTCTTCAGCAGCACTGCGCGGACCTAAAATGAATTAAATAAAATATTTTTGATATTTTTAAAAACATTTAAAACATTTGATCGTGTCACAGAAATCACTAAGGTAATGAAATCGCTTTTAAAGGTGCCCAAAAGTATGCAAGCATTTCGTAAAATCCATAGCTTACCTCGCCGTTTAGAAAGCAATAGATGAGTGCTATGAAAAATCCCTGGAACGAGGTGAGAAAGTGTGTGACATACGACCAGACCGCAAAATTCGTTGCCGTTTTCAGCGGAGCCATCTGGTGCAGTATGTTGGTAATACCCAAAAGTGGTAGTAGGACTATCGCTGCTCTAACGGCTTTTCGGGTCTGTTCTATATCGCTGGCCTGCGATTGGCGCAACTTCATCACGAGCACACGTATGATATTAACCAGGAAACAAAAATTCAGCTGCAAAAATACCGCTTACATTATGTTTTCAGTTTTATCGTAATTTCTATAATAACAAACCAGTATAACCGCTAGTCGTGGTCCTTCGAGGATCCAGTAGTAGGGCGTGAGATTATAGTTCCACAAGCACTCGCCCAGCGAAGTGTCCATATACATCACCGTACATCTCGCCCAAACGGTGGTCATCAAAATGGGAAACCCCCAGCCGAGTCGCGAGAAGAATTTGAGGGGAAAGCTGCCCTGGAAAACGGCCACCGTGACCATATTGTGCAGGTAGAGGCCCTCGATGAACATCCACATAAACATGGCGGTGCGAGCGTACTCCAAAAGTACATACGAGGCCTCACACAAATAGGGCTGTAGATCATATAGTATAGTATATAATATAATATAGTTATTAAATTAAGAGTTTTTAGTAGTTTTCTAGGATTTTTATGTAAAGCCTTGAGAAAATATTATTTAATTTCTGGGACTTTCATCCATTTTCTGTTATTTTTTTTAAAATTTATTTATTTTGGACCTATATCATGTAAACCCACCGTGTTTTCAATAACCGAAAGGCTCGTGTTGGTGGCGGCCTCCTTGTTTCCTCGCCGGTACTGATCCAAATACAAGGTCAGCCGGATGAT